TGACGCTGTTTCCGAGGCAATCTCCTTCGATTCCGGTGAACCCGTGCTGAACTTTCGTCCGTCATATGACAGCGTCAGCATGAATCTTCCAGTAAAGCCAATGGACAGCTGGTCAGTTCACCGGAATCGAAGGAGATTGCCTCAGAAACAGTGTCAGCATGAATCTTCCAGTAAAGCCAATCGACAGCTGGTCAAGAGAGGAGATTGCCTCGGAAACAGCGTCAGCATGAATGTTCCAGTAAAGCTAATCGACAGCTGGTCAAGAGGAATCCCGTCGTCTTCTGGTGGAACCGACCTTCGAATCTCTTCACCAAACACTTCTACTCGAAATGGAAGTAAGCTCAACAACATCATTTGATGAACGAATGCTCAGCACGTTTTCACCCGAAACGAGCGAGGAAATCCCATGGAATGCGTCAACATGAATATCGTATCAAAGCCAAACGGCTGCAGTACAACGAGATTGCTCCGTCCTCGTCGGGTGAGATCGACCAACCAATTTCTTCTTCATGCACTTTCATCCGACATGAAGGTCCCCCTAACAATCATATAAGGTAAATTCAATTGCGCCCTGAGAGCTAATCATTTGATTGGGACAAAATTCTTTATCAGTCCTTGAGAATCCTAGGCAATCTGAGGTGAATGGAGCCGTTTCCTATTCGACCTTGGTCAGCCGAGGTGGGTTAAGGCGATTTAAAGACTGATAGTTGGATTTCCCACAATCAGATGAATAGGCTTCACAATTCCATTGAATTTCATTTGTCCCTACCTCACAAAAGGTCATCTCATCCAGAGTGAACTGCAGTTTTGGTGCACGAGTTCATCGAAATCACAGAAAAGGTAGCGAGGACTTGCTCGCACAAGGCACAGTTTTCTCTCCACTTCAAAGCATTCATTTTTCTGTTTCGAGTGAGACCAATTCCCGAATTCATTCCAATCGAATGTTTCCTTCAAAATGCAAAAGTAAATCACAGTACCACCTCGGGCAGAAGGCTTCGCCAAGTTCTTTCGTCGTCTCTTTTAGCACAAATTAACATACTTCAGTAATATGAGATTGGTAGAATAAGAAATTTCCCACAATGATATAAGTTGAGCTGAAATTCAATGGAAACGTCAGCTCAGTTCATATGATTGTGGGAAAATTCTTCTGCTACCAGTCCTTCATCACCTTAAACATAATTGGGTGAATACATCTCATATTACTGATTTACTGGTAGTTTAATTCGAAAAATAAAACTAAAAAAGCCCCAGTATTACAGGATCAAAGGCTAGTTTATTTCCACAAAGAGAAGATTTTATCGCATCCGCTCTCCCATCC